TATATATATATATGCACACAAAAAAAAAAGAGATAGTTATATAAATTATACTTACATTTCGTGTGTTACATATTAAATTTAACTGCTGAATCTCTCCTACTAGCTCTACATTCTGTGTGAATAATTCTTGGTTGTTCTGTTTTTCCTTAGACAGCGCTTTTGCTAAATGATTATTATTATGCTTCAATTTTTCATATACTAAAAAAAGAAACAATTTTAGCAAAACAACTGCCATATGTTAAATAAAGTAAGAAATGAATTGCTATAAAATTCAAATTTTCTTACATGGTCTATAGGATCGTAATTCCTTATAATGTGTCCTCAAGAACTGTGATCTTTTATTAGCCAATACCCCAGCTCTCTTAACTTTTCGAATTGGCATTTTTGGCATATTATATATATGATTTCATATAATTCCTTTAGTTCAATGAATCTACATATAGACAATAGAAACTATAATAGGAATATATAGAAATTAAAGTAAGGATCCTATTCTGTAATTGTTAACGACTACAATAATACTCTTACATTATCGTTGCACAGGTTTTGTATTTGGTATAAAAAATGCGCAAAAGCAATGTAATGATATCGTTACAGTCGTTAAAAGTTACACAATAGGGTCCTGAATTTCATAAGTTTATTCGGAAAATTCAAATAAATATAAATTTTATCATTATTAGAATTGAAAGGGTAAATTAAATGATTTAATTATATTAAAAATCTCACTTTTCGATATTCTTTCTTATCTTGCGAAAAATTAGCCCGTGAACAAAACAATCTTTTATTGCTGTTTATTAGTATACCTTAATTTTCGTTCAATATTAATGAAGATACGAATATGCTTCTCTCTCTCCCTCTCTCTCTCCTCCCCCTCCCCCTTCGTTTCAACAAAACATCAAACATACCTCATAAAAAACGTACTTCGTAAAGTACCCAGTTTTCTTGCGTACCTACAAATCTTGCGTTAAAGATTTCCTTTTTTCACATGCGAATAACCGAATAAGAGAATACTCATAACCTTCGTGACGTTTCTATCTGCACTGAACAGTGAATGTTGTAACACATCGGTATTTAAATGATCTCGTAGAATACTGAGCACACATCAGCACACATGGACGTAATGCACATATATTGGCACACATACATATGTTTATTGGTCGTTGGTGTCTTCCATTTTAAATCACACGTCTGTTCATAGGGAAAGAAGATAGATGGAGACTTGAGGGATACGCAGTAAGACCAAATTTAGAATCTAAGGCTACGTTCCAAAACGTCCTCTCCAAAGAAGATTTTATGTCTCTATATAGATTTTATGACATATAGATTTTATCTCTATATGTCTATACGCTACGTGTACTATATATTTCGAGTAAAATTTTCCTCAGAGAGGAAGTTTTGAAACGTAGTCTTAAGCCGGAATTAGATTACGCATTGAAGAATAAGATTGAAGATTGACCAATCAGAACGGAAGGAGTCAAAACTTCTTTGTCCTCATTGGTGAAATTTTAATCTTTAATTTCAATCTTCAGTACATAATCTCCGGCCTAAATGTGATTCGGTTTGATTGGCCGTTGTGTGACAACTTGAGGGTGCGGTAAGTCATGGTGCAATAAGTTGAAGTGAAACAAATATACGTTTGTTTCACTTTAACTTATTACACCGATTCAGAGTGCAGCAATAAAAAACAGACCTAAAGATAGAACGCACTCAAAGGGTACTTTCCGATATGCACTAAAAGTGCTGAAAATCTATAGTGCACGTAACGTATTCTATGTAGTTTCGGCATTGGGAGTGTATATCGAAATATACCCTTTTGGTCTGTTTTCTGTTCCTGCACTAGACTGTTCTAAAACTCTCTTTCTCGCTTTAAACAAATATCAAACTGTGGAGCACATTCACACTTCCATACACACACACACACACACACACATTCTCATACTCTTTCAGTTATACTTCAACCATGCCTTATACTCGTTAAGACTCACACACTCCGCGACCAGATGGCGCGCTGCTCTCACGAACACGATACTGAATTTCCCATCTAGACACTCTCTTTTTTAGTTCTTCTTCAACCGCGAGACACGAGACATCGAGTTACATTTGTCGCGGTTGAAGAATTATTAAGTTCCAAAAGTGTACATTAGTTCAGTCACAGAAAGCAAACCTCTGGTTTTTCGATAGTTCGCTTCAGTTCAGTAAAGACCCAATCAGAGTTTGGCTATGAGAACGTCCGGCACTTTTTACAAAATTGTGCGAGAGAGAAAAATATGTGCTATTTCATTTTTACTCTGTAATATATAGAAATCTGGACAAGTCAGAGAGACGGTAAATAGTCAGATAGGTAAAGAAATCGTTTGATTGTTTCAATTACGCGATCACGACGTTTTTTTACATTGGTACGTTCAACGGACTTATGCACGGTTCCACCAATGTAGATTAACTTTAATCTCGGTTCAACTTACTCTTCATCTTTTTCTAATTCTAAAGATTAGAAAAAGACGAAGGGTAAGGCCGGAATCAGATTATATATGGAAGATTGAGATTAAAGATTAAAATTTCATCAATGAGGACAAAGAAGTTTTGGCTTCTTTTGTTCTGATTGATCAAATTTCAATCTTCAATCTCATTTTTCAATGCGTCTGATGTAGTCTGATTCCGACCTAAGTTGAACCGTTCAGCAGATTCAATTGTTGTGCAACCGTTTTATGAATGGGCACGTTCAAGTTGACAAAGCGACTAGCCCGCTCGCCGAGCAAATGAACATAATTGGTTGTTATTTATAGATCCAACCAATCATATACAATCACTCGGTAAGCATGCCTAGCCGCTTTGCCGTCTTGAACTTGCCCATTGTCTGCTGAGATAGGATCATTCTTCTAGATCTAAAAGTATAATCCAACCAGCGCGAAAAAAACTTCCAACAAAATAAACGTTCTGCTGAACACAGTCACTGAGTACTCTTGTGAAAAAAATGGCGACGGTAATCTAGGACCTTAACATAACTCAGAGTGGATGCATTCAAATCGCGGATAAATATTTTTTACGCCACTGCCGGTATCGTTTCGCTGATTAAGTTGAATAGTTGCTGTTTCCAATGCTTGATGCTGTAATCTAAATGCACCCGTTTCTATCAATGTGGGTTAACTTTAATTATTGTTACTGCAGCGAATAGTAATTATGTAATGTACCCAGTAAACGAGAATAAATTGAAATGGATAAATATGAATTCATTTTCGACGTTTCGGAATTTCATTCGCTTTTGATTCAAATGGATTCATCGTCATGAATACATCCCACTTTAAAATTATGAATAAGTTAACAGTCACTTCAATTTAAAAAAATTTCAACATAGCTAATTTGTAAACTGTGAATACATCACAGTTCAAAATTATGAAAATATGCACTTTTGTTTAAATAAAAAAAAAAGCTATAACGGAAAATTAATTTGTAAGCCCTGAATTCCCAGTAAACGAGAATGGATTGAAATGAATTGAAATGGATTCAGATTTTCAGAAATATTGATTCACAAATGTTAAAATGAATGCTTTTCAATCCTGAATGCATTTTTATTCATTTACAGGAATTGCATGGAGCATATCTCTATGCCTTTCAAAAAAATAATATAATATTAGCTTTTTCTGTGCATTGTGAATACTGTTCAATTCAAAATTTTGAATAAGAAATGCAGTTTTTTAATCCAATTGAATTCAATTAAATCCAAAAAAAGTATATGCTATTTAAAATACGCATTCGGATAGAAAAACATTTCAATCCATTTTAATCCATTCTCGTTTGCTGGATTTATATCCGAATTCAGTATTGAATAGAAATATTTCTTTTTCGATTGGGATGCGTATAAAAATACTGTTCTATCTAAAGAAAGAATTATAAATGTTTATGTTTATTACAAAAGTTTATTTGATTTATGCTCTCACATATCAATTCATTTCAATCCAGCTCATGGCTCTAAAGCATGAACTTGGATAAATTAATTAAAATGAATATTGAATTGCAATTTTTAATTCATTTCAATTCATTCTCATTTACTGAGTATAGTTAATATTAATATGTCCTCTTACAAAATGTCATTTATCCATGAGAAACTATTCCCTCCCAATTAGGGAACTCGCCTCCGAATCAGGGCCACTTTCTATTCGCGCACCATCAAGTTCGGTCTTTTTCTCTTCATTCCAATTCCACCGGTCCCACGTGAATTTACACACAACTTTCTATGCGAAACAAACGTCAACCTAAACCTATGTGTCTAGTTTTTTTGATGAAGTCCCGTAAGAGGGGGGCGCGAAACCTACTGCATTCATCCGTGCTTATATTTTACAATGCATCATTAAATATATGTATTTATACTACTTACAAAATGCATATCTGCCTTCTGGCTATAAATTATATTCTATTAAATATTTATGAAACTTGATAATAAGTTTTTAACGAATAAAGAGCAACGGCTAAAACCTTATCTAATGATCTTGATCTTAACATACATTATCAAGATCATTGGAGCTTGCCCAGGTTGCTCTCTCCCCTTTTTATAGTTTTAGCACATATTCATATATGTAGGTATACGTAAATATACAATGACTCATATGCAGGTTCGAATATTCTTATAATACTAATATGCTTATAAAAGATATAACAAAATTAAAATAAAGTCCAGAATTTTTAGTTCTTTTTTTAAGTCATCGTATCGACAGCACTAGAGTTCTCGTATTATCACATATTTCGTTATTCGTCGTCATGAAGATAAGCGTACAGGTTCGTCTTATTATTCGCTAGCTATCTGTTCCTCGGAAATTTCAACCAATATTCCTTAACCATTTCTGCGCCTTTCTCGGCTATCATAATTACTGGCGCGTTCGTATTTCCACTTACGATGTTTGGCATGATTGAAGCATCAATCACGCGCAATCCAGTTACACCATAGACTCTAAGCTGCGGATCGACGACAGCCTCGGGATCCCAGTAAGGACCCATTTTGCACGAGCCTACGGGATGATAGACGGTGGAACTATAGTACCTGATCATGCATTCCCAGTAAGAATCAGTATACATGGGTATATGTTCGCATCCTGGAAACTGTCGTGAGTTGAGCTCGCTTCCAAATCGCTTAAAGGCGTTGGTCCTGCTCAGAGCTACACTGATCTTCACTCCCTCTACTAATGTGGCGATGTCCTCCGCTTCCTTGAAGTAATTCGGATAAATGAGAGGATAATCGAACGGGTTTTTACTGCGCAACTTGATTACACCGCGACTTTTTGGTCGTAGCAACATAGGAAGCACACTCCATGTGTCCTTATTGTTGATCGGTCCGAAAACGGTGTCATAGAACTTCTTCGTTAGTCCATGGATTTTCCTCAGTTTCTTGCCAGCATCCGAATTCGTCGAGCCGGAAACGAAATGCAGCTCAACGTCGGGAAAGTCCAGCGAAGCGTTTGCATATTTGGTGTTGACAAAGGCGATGCCCTCAACACCTCCAAGCACCGTCAGAGGTCCAGTGCCCAGTACAGCGTATTGCATCAATGTCTGGATGTTCTGAATCCGTTTTTCCATTATAGAAATCTCTTGATTAACCATGAATGTTAGTCCACCCAAGCCAATATGATCCTGCAAATTGCTGCCTACCTAAAGACACGGGAATAAATCGTATAGATTAAATAAAATGAAGATTGCTCGAAAATTCAACTGATTTATAAAGTTATCTAATATATGACATATATAACTTTAAACGATAAAAATGTGGAGACTCCGAGAGAGAGAAAGACATTGAAAAATTTTGCATAAAAAAATTTAAGTACTAACCTTGCTGTCTTGAATCACGGGAATACCGAGCTCTCGCAAATGTTCCTTTGGCCCGATTCCTGATAGCAAAAGTAGCTGCGGTGAATTTATGGCCCCGCCAGATACAATCACTTCCTTCTTTGCGCGCACACGAAAAACCTTGTCGTTCCTGACGAATTCTACTCCGTAGGTATGCTTTGTTTTGGGGTGCACCAGCACTTTAGTAGCGTGCGCGTGCATTGCTATGTGCAGATTCTTCCTGAGTCTGGCTGGCCTAAGAAAAGCCTTTGCACTGGAGCAACGACTGCCACGTCTAACAGTGCCCTGAGCGATCATAAAGCCGGTATGAAATTCGCCATTAATATCGCGATTTTCATATCCCATTTCTTGACCAGCCTCGACGAAGGCCGCCACTAAGGGTGTGTGCCACGGTGCCTCCTGCACCGTCAAGTATCCGCCGCTCGCGTGATACGGTGTGTGAACCAAGTAAGGATTCTGATTATC